TTTTCTGCATTCTAAAAAGCTTTTCAACTTCATGTTTTCTAGTTTAATTTGGCACATAAAGCCATCATTTTATTCCTATTTTTTAAATCTCATTTGTATGAATGTTCAAGGGGGCATACACTAACAACATGAAGTAAAAGTAGCCTACTAAATAGAAAACACCCTGGGCACATTCAGATTTCTAATTCGTATCAGCTGTAGAATTACTTAAATACACATTACTTTCTTCCTTTATAGCTAAGAAAAAAACTCATAGCATTGGGAGCTGTGTTCAGATGCAAATAAACAGGTCTGAATTCCTGCAAGTCTGAGACTCACCCTCTCTTAGAAACAAAGATAAGCTCAGATTAAAATCAGTGACCTCAAACAAGATTTCCTGCTTGCTGGTCCTTAAATACGATTAAAATTGCCTTGAATCACTTTGACCGAAGTGGGTCCACCCTGAGCATCTTTGGCAATGTCTGTTCACATCTGGCCAGATGTTTATTGTCACGCCAATGTGCGGTACAAGAGTCTGATGCACTGGAGGGGATGTGCAGGCTGGGCAAGAAACAGAGCATGAAGAGCTTCCTGGCTTTTGCTGAACTGATGGTCCGAGGCCTGTAGCAGATCTTTCCTGAGAGCCCACAAACATGAGCAGGATGCGCTGTGGAGCCTGGGAAGGGACCACTAATGATAATGGTGGGGTTTTCCTTTTTCCCTGAGCAGTGGTGGGCATATGTATCACCTCAGCCCAAACATTCAGAGCAGCTACTGCACCCAGTTGCCTTTCAGAGTCATGTAAACACTCTGTCACAAAGGTTTCCAGTTGAAGTAAGGGACGTGATGGAATTCAAAGTCAACAAATGTAAGTCAAGCTTGCTTTGGACATCTAGTTGATGAAGGTCAAGTTTCAGCCATAAGGAAGGAATTGCTTTTGTCCTGGCTATTGTACATGCCTGATTCAGATATCTCAATATCAGATAACCAAAAGTTACCATTTTTTTCCCCTTTTTCCTGTCTCCTTTCTCCTTTCCTCTTTTTCCTTCTCTTTCACATTCTCTTTCTCCTTCTCCTTCTCTTTCTTCTTTTCTTCTTCTCTTTTTGTTAAAGTCAATTCCATCAGAAGGCATGAAAGCTGTCATCTTAAAAGTGCTGGGAAATGCAGACAGGCTGAGCAATCATTGCTCTTGTGGAAGGATCTGTTGATTACTGTCTGTCAGCATTTCTTAGTCTGCTACAGTGGACTAGGAAGCTCCAGATCACCACAGCTGCATTTTCATATGCAGAAACGGTACTAGTGCTATAGTTCCATGGTCTTGATGGCAAACCTGAAATTGTCTCCTTCTGCTTGTAGCTCCCTTGGTTGTCCTAATACAGCTCTGTCTGCAGATGTGCTTTGGATGGAAAGTTTACACATCTAGATGAAAATTAACCAGCCAGCTCCCTGAACCAGTCCACAGTACCAACAAACACAAAATTGTAGCAGCGCAATTAAGAAGGACAATTTGGGAATTGGTTTGAGAAGCTGGAGGTGAAGGTTGCTTAAGCTGACCCTGATGCTGAAAAAAACAGCCCTATAGTGAGTAAGGAGGGGAAAATCTTGATAACCAGAGCAATCTTAAACACAATTTTTGTCAACATGGAGTTCCACAAACTCTTGGGGTGTATCAAAATGCTTTACTGGCATTCAGGGTGGAACTATGCATCCTCATGGCTGAAATGCTACATGGTATAATCAACTGCATATGAAGGAATTATGCACTCCACATTCGATCTGCACAAAGTAGAGACATCAGCCTAGCCTCCTTGTTTGACAACTTGAAAAGCCAGGTTTTCTAAAAGCGTAGTTGCTGCCCTGCCCAGCACTAGAGGCTCAGACTGAAGAGCCTTTCTGAAAGTCAGTAAGGGTTTAAGTGTAAGCAGGGCTACATTCTGGATATGCAAAATTTGAGCTGAAATCCCTCAAAGCCTGTCCAGGGCATGAAGACGTGTGCAGGGTAAAGACTGCTGCCTTCTGGTTATCAGATCCAGCAATCCATTTGACCCTGTAGGATATGTCTGTGCCCCAGCATGTGTCTTGAAGCAGCAGATAAATGTGTCAGAGCTCGTAAATGCTGCTGAGCCAGAGCAGAAGTGCCTGTACCCACTTCAGGCTCTTGACATTTCAGGATCATTTTAGGCAGACGCACTTGCCTGTCCACCTGCACATATGGAATTGATTTCCAAACCCTGTGGATGATCAATCACTACAATTGGACAAAGGCTCATCCTCTGCCTTTGTGGGTTAGGGCTTGAAAGGGAAGAGTCCTCTTCGCTCTCCTGGGGATAGTGACCTCATGTCCTGGTTTTTATCTGATACACACATCATTAGGTGTTTTCTGCCTTTTTTGTTTTGGTGGTACGGTATGTAAATCTTTTATTTGTGTTTCAAAACAAAGCTATAGCTGTTGAACAACCTAAAACTTCTTATTTCTTCTGTGTGTCTGCCACCTTCTTGGCTTATGAGATGATCCATTCAGTAAAATGTGTCATTTTGAAGCAAATTAGAGGATAGGAAACAACCAAACCAATTATATCTAGTGTTATATCTAATTAGGTTCTTAAGCTGATGGCACAGCCTCATCAAAGCCCTAGATTTACCTAGAAGCTGCTCTTTTACAGTGGGCAGCTGCTGGCTTTATATCTAAGTAGTAATGGTTGGTGAAACTCTTCTCAGGCAGCATTTCCAGAGTAAGATTCAGGAATACAAGTAGAGACATTCTGTGATTCAACTCACAGCACTGCTTGCTAAATTCATGCTACAGTTTCCTATCCAGTGTGTTTGTACAACAGTTTTGGAGTACGGCCTACCTTTATTCTGCCTTTCTCAAATACCTATAGCAAGGAAGTTGTGTCTACTAACAGTCATAGTGGGCATGGCAGTGGGTTAAGAGAAGGAAATATTTGGTACAACATTGGGTACAACCTATGTTAGAAACGTAAATAATGGATGGCTTGCTAAACTTGATGCATTTTAGTCACTGGACTTTTATCCTCATGAAGGAGAACAGCCTAAAGGCTGTGGAAGATAACTTCGCTGTGACACAGCCTCTTTGGTTTGGCATAGAATCACAGACTGGTCTGGGTTGGAAGGGACCTTAAAGTTCATCCAGTTCCAACCCCGCTGCCATCAGCAGGGACACCTTCCACTAGACCAGGTTGCTCAAAGCCTCATCCAACCTGGCCCTGAACACTTCCAGGGAGGAGCAGCCACAGCTTCTCTGGGCAACGTGGGCCAGTGTCTCACCACCCTCACAGCAAACAATTTTTTCCTCACATCTCATCTCAATCTCCCCTCTTCCAATTTAAAGCTATCCCCCCTTGTTCTGTCACTCCCTGCCCTTGTCACAAGTCCCTCCCCAGCCTTCCTGGAGCCCCTTCAGGTACTGGAAGGCCGCTAGAAAGTCTCCCCAGAGCCTTCTCTTCTCCAGGCTGAACAGCCCCAACTCTCTCAGCCTGTCCTGCATGTGACACCTGGCACTGCAAAATCCTGCTCCAGGAAAGGTGCTCCAGGGTGATCCCATCATGCAAGTAATAAAAATAACTGCTTGGCTTTCAGGAAGCTTTGAATCACAGAATCACAGATTGCCTCAACTGGAAAGACCTTTAAGATTATTGAGTCCTATCCTTAACCTCACACTGACAAGTCCCTGACTAAACCATGTCCCTCAGCACTATGTCTACACGACTCTTCAACCCCTCCAGGGATGGGGACTCCACCACTGCCCTGGGCAACCCCTGCCAATGCCTCAGAACCCTTTCTGCAAAGAAATTCTTCCTCACATCCAATCTCAACTGCCCTTGGTGCAACTTGAGGCCATTTCCTCTTGTCCTGTCACTTGGTCCTTGGTTGAACACACCCACCCCCACCTCTCTGCACCCTCCTCTCAGGGAGCTGGAGAGAGCCAGAAGGTCTCCCCTCAGCCTCCTTCTCTCCAGGATCAACAACCCCAGTTCCCTCAGCCGTGAACTCATCACACTTGTGCTCCAGACCCTTCCCCAGCTCCGTTGCCCTTCTCTGGACACACTCCAGCACCTCCATGTCCTTCTTGGAGTCAGGGGCCCAACACTGAACCCAGCACTCAAGGTGCAGCCTCACCAGTGGCCAGCACAGGGGGAAGCGAACTTCCCTGGTCCTACTGGCCATGCTATTCCTGATACAGGCCAGGATGCTGTTGGCCTTCTTGGCCACCTGGGCACCCTGCTGAATCAAGCCCTTCAGAAATGAGAGAAAACTTCAGTGTTTTGCTTGGGTCACATTAAGCTGCTACTTCCATGTATTGTTTTCCTATTGCAGCTGGCAAAATATTCTGTTTAATATAAAGAAGTGTTTCTTCCAGCATCCCTGCTCCTCCTGTATGGCTTCACAACCTAAAGCCTGATATCATAAGTGTTTTCACAGTGGTAAGTGATAACTTCACAAACACAGAATTGAAGTATCACTGCAAAAATCAGAGAGGAAGAATTAGTGGAGACAAGATGGTATGTTAAAACTGGGTGAGATAATGCAGAAGTTCAGGGATGGTTTGGTAGAAGGCTTTGGTTTGGTTACAGATGCCAGACCATCTTCTCTCTAAAGGGAAACCTCTTGTGGCAGGCAGGGGCTAGAAAGGTTGGTTCCCAGGCTCTCTGGCTATCAGCTCTGTGTCTCTGGCAGCCCCCTGCTTCTCTGCGTCCTTGCTCTGCAGGTGTTTAGAACATCGGATCTACGTGTTACAGTGTGTAGTTTCTGCTGGAATTGTTGTAGGCTGTGTGAAGTGGCTGGGATTGGCACTGAGAGGTGAAACAAAACAATGCCTCTGATAAAAAGCATGCTGTGTGAACACAGGGCTGGAAATGACCTCCTGGGGAACTAAGGTTATTCTCGTGCTATCACAGGAAACCATATCATGCAGACCCTTTCATAAGCTTCGTGTGCTCACAATGAGCTAGCTAGTTTGCTTCCATCAAAGCTGTTCAGAGGTCCTTGCAGAGACTTACCTCTCTGGTTTATTTTCAGATTGTATAAATCTTTCACCTTTAACTAAAGATTTCCATGGAGAGGAAGAGACACGAGTGTCGAGGGATTTTTTGAGGCTCCATTTCAGTTGACGGTTGGACTGGATGATCTTAGAGGTCTTTTCCAACTTTAATGACTCTGTGATTCTGTAATCTTTAAAGTATTTAATACTGAGCATAAACTGCCTGCATTTAGACTATTGCTGTGTTCTCACTGATGTGGTTTCTCCAGGGTTTGTTTCCACTTGATGGACTTAAAAAATGTAGTCGTATCTCTGTGGTCCCCTGGTTTTACAAAATGAATTCCCCAAATCCTTTTGGTCACCTCATTTTCATGAAATGACTATGCAGATAAAGAAAGGGCCAGAGCAGGGAGAAGGAGACCTATTTCTTCTTGCTGCCTGGAAAGGTGGCATTTTGAAGGAGAAAATACAATGAGTTATGTATCATAGAATCATAGAATGTCATACCTGTGTTTATTTTTTATGCACCAAAAGCTAAACCTTTGGATTTTTCAGGTTATCAAAAATGGATAATGTTAACTATGATCTTCATGACCAGGAAAATAATCAGGAAGACACAATTTTATTGTCTAATACCCCCCAAAACCTATTCATCCAACATCCAACAGGGCTAATAAGTGACCACTGCAAACTGTTCAAAGCAAAGGAGTCATTAAAATTACCAGGAATTATTCTCATACCAGAAAGAGGATTTGCTCTTGTGTCTTCATAGGCAGGAGCTGTGGTGTGGAGCCTGTTGTTCCAGCCAGAACACTGTCATGCCAGTAACACCTACACTGGGAGCAGTGGTTTGGGGTGATATAAGCTGTTTCTGCAGTTTCCTGATATTCCCATGCCACAGGGGTTTTTCCAGTCTAGACCTAGCCTCCAAGTCTTGTAGCCTAAACATATCACAGAAAAAGGTGCTCAGACTATGCTGGCAGCTCCTTAGATTGTGACACCCTGTTCTTTTGTGGTCAGCTATGCTGTGGTTTCGTCTATTTTTACTTATAGATGTATCTCTCAGTGTGAAGCTGTATTTTTAGTGTGTAAATAATATAGGTAGATGTGGTTGTTGCACTGGGCTACAGCCAAATCCATCCGCTCACTCACTCCCCCCGCCATCAGGGGACAGAGGAGAGAATTGGGGGGCAAG